CTTTCCCCAGCACTATAATTAGCATCTTAATTTATAGCAAACTAGCTCGGATTAGTATTAATATAATTACAACAGTGGCCCAAACTTGGCTTTCACATAGCTCCATTCTCTTCCCAGCAGTCTGTTATTGTTACACAAATGACAACTTTGTATACTATGTTTGTCAATGCAAATTTATAATTATTGTTTTGTGTAATTGTCTTTTAAATCATAGAGGCAAAAAGAGCTACACACACAAATTGTAGTCAAAACTGTCTTTTATAGTTTCCCACACAGCTACACTTAACAATTATTCTTTGGGTCTGTTTCCTCCTCCTCTTCCTTCCTTGTTCTATCTCCTTCTCTGACTTCTACTCTCTGTGGCCTCTTCCCTGGCCATGTCAGACTGCTTTTCACCCTCTGTGACAAAATACCCAAGGAAAATCATTTCAAAGAGGAAGGCTTCTTTTAGTTCTTGGTTTCAGAGGGCTCAGTCCATGGTCATTTGGCCTCGGTGCTGTGGGCTGTGGCAAGGAAGGACATCATCAAAGCAAGGATCGGGTGTGGGAGCAAAGTCTCTCTCCTCGTGGTAGCCAGGAAGTGGAGGGGAGGGGAGGGACAGAGAGACAGACAGAGAGACAGAGACAGAGACAGACAGACAGACAGACAGACACACACACACACACACACAGAGAGAGAGAGAGAGAGAGAGAGAGAGAGAGAGAGAGAGAGATTTGATGAATTTATCTACTCAAAGTTGGCTCTGCCTCCTACATTCTACTAATAATACCATCAAAACATGGCCAGTGAGAGTGCTCAGCAGGTAAAGGTGCTTGTAGCTAAGCCTAATGACCTGAGTTCCATCCCTGGGACCCACACAGTTAGAAGGAGAAAACCAACTCCCATAAGTTGTTCTCTGATTTCCACACATATGCCGTGGTGCATGCATACAGTGAGAACGAAGCACACAGTGAGAGCTGGTGCTGGGTTCCTGAAGTCCAGAGGGACAGAAGCCTGCCTTCTCATCAGCAGACAGCTGGTGCCAGCCTCGCTTTGTTTTAGCTGTGGTTTTTATCATTTTCCGATTTATGAATCATTGATCATCTGGCTACGGTTTCCACGGTGATCCTTAACCAACAAGGCAATTCAAGAGGTGTCCTGCTCCACCCTCATTAGAGGATCAAGTTCACTGTGAGTATGTGCTTCAGCCCCGAGCAACGGCAAGTATTTTGAGTTGGGAAACTGGGTCCATGGGTCTTTCTTCAGACGGGAAACCTCAAGACATGAGGAACTCACTGGAGTCTACAGCTGATTGCGTGTGTTTGTGAGTATGAAAGTGTGTGTGTTGGTCAGAAGTCAACTCTGGGCACTATTCCTCAAGAGCCACCCATGTTTATTTTTAATAGAACGTCTTTTACTTCTTCTTTTACCTCATACATATAATCAATGAACCTTGGTTATATCCACTCCCAACCCCTCCCCCAGCCCACTAATTACCCTCAACACATTCCTGTCCTTCTGAAACCAGTTATTGTTGCCTGTATTGACTTCTTTACTTGGGTAGATCCTGTTTAAGGGAGGCAACTGTGGCAGTTTGAATGAGGCTGGGCCCCAGAAGCTCATGTTTGAATGCTTGGTCCCCAGGTGGTGAACTACATAGAAAGGATTAGGATGTGTGTCACTGGGAGTGGGCTTTGAGGTTTCAAAAGCCTACACTCAGTCTCAGTATCACTCTATCTCCACCTTGAGGGTCAGATTGTAAGCTCTCAGCTACTGTTCCAACACCATGTCTACCTGCCTGCCACCATGCTTCCTGCTATGATGACCATGGACTAACCCACTGACACCTTAAGCAAGCCCATGATTAAATGCTTTCTTTTTATAGTATCTTTTGGCCATGGTATCTCCTCACAGCCATAGTAACCCTAAGACTATAACCACAGCAGCAGTGAGTTCACTATAGCAGTGGCCTGGCATGTCCTGAGGGAAGAATTTCACAGCACGTCTCTCATCGTCTGGTTCTGACATTCCTTCCTCCCCTTCTTCTGCAAGGTTCCCTGAGCCTTGACACCCATCTTTTTTGAAACATAGGTCACACACTGTCTTGGAACTCTCTTAAGCTAAACTGGTGGCAGGTAGCTGAGATTACAATATCTTATCTTATCTTTTTATTTGTTCTGAGACAGCATCTCACTGTATAGTCTGAATGACCTCAAACTCAGAGAGCTCTGCCTGCCTCTGCCTTCCAAATACTGGGATTGAAGGCGTGTGTCACTATGACTGGTCCCATGCCCAGCTTTTTAAAATATGGGTTCTAGGATTTGAACTCAGAACTTGGGTACTTGTGCTCAGCTTTTTTACAACAAGGGTGTTAGGGATCTGCTTGACTCTTGTTTGCGTATCACTTTACAGACTGAACCATCTCCCCCACCTGACTAGGTACCTTTCCATGGAGAGCTGCCTGGCTGTAGTTGCACCATGAAAGGGATTAAAAATAAACTGCTCTCCACCGGCTTCATCATGTAGAACTCCAAAGGCCCCCAAGCAGGGCATCTGGCCTAATTTCATGTTCTACCCAACACTAATGATGTTCAGTCTGCCAAGTAATAATTCACATTGAAAATAGACTCTGGGGACCTCTGTGACCCTCCAGTCTTTGTTTTGGAGGCTGAGTCCCACTGAGCCTCACTATTAAGTATATCTGGCATATGATGTCAGGTGGCCCCACAGTTAGATGCCACTTTCCATATCATTGAAAACATTGCTCTACAGCCGCCAAGAGTGTAGACACAAAAAATGGAAAGTGGCGGCAATAAAGAGACTATCATCATGACAGCCAGAGCCAGGTGGGCACACAGAGGGGGCTCGTGGAGGATGCAGTGGCATCTGGCCCTGCTGAACCAAAGACCAGAAGGCAGAGGTAAATAGGAACAATCAGGGGAAGATACAAGGTCTCCAGATCCAAAATCTGGCTGTGACCCTGATCTGCCTTTCATTGGTTATAGAAGCCCCAAACCTGGGCTGAAGAGCACTAGCTTGATAGCACAAGGACCTCAGTTTGATTCCCAGTGCTGAGGAGAGAGACAGCCTAGCTGATTTCGGGAGTTTCACATCAGTGAGAGACTGTCTTGACATCAGAGACTGAGGGAGGCTGGAAGAGATGACCCAGTAGGTAAAGCCTTGTAAGCCTGAGGGCCAGAGTACACAACAGTGTGTCTGTAACCCAGCTTTCCTATGGTGAAACCAGGGACCGTGAGAAAGTAATCACAGGGGCAAACAAAAAACCCTGTTAAAAAGAGGAAGGGGAAGGCAGAACCTAAGTTTTCCCATTGATCTCCACCCATAAACCCAATGATATGCACACACGTGTGCACACATGAGCACATTCATAAGCAAAGTTTTTTTTTAAGATTGATAGCGCTTGAAGAGACCCACATTTGCGCGCACACACACAGAGAGAGAGAGAGAGAGAGAGAGAGAGAGAGAGAGAGAGAGAAAAGAATCCCCAAATGCCACTTTTCATTGTTCCTTGAACTCACCTAAAAATTGAGATTGGCTTTCAGGGAGCTGCATTAAATAAATTATTAGGAGGTAGTAAGTCTGCTGGACACCCATAGCATGATGCTGAGGAAGGAGGGGACACACTTGGACCATATACTACTGGAAGCATCAACACTCCATGCCCTTCAGAGACAGGTGTGTCTGTCCACAGGGGTTAGGCTTGGGCAAACCAAGTCAGCCATGTATTAGCCAAGAAGCACAAAGCCCCACCCCTCCCAGACTAGCTGGGTTCCAGTGTGTATGTGTGGAGAGAGAGAGAGACAGAGAGACAGAGAGACAGAGAGAGACAAGCTCAAGGCATCTTCCATTGCACTTTAATCAAAATTCCATCATCACAAGAGCTCTTGTGGCATACAATGTCAGGATGGGCACATCAACTTGGTCCTACAAATGGAACATCCATGGATCCGCACTTCAAACATGTATGAAAAATAAAATATATAATATTTATAGCTTTATAAATTTCCCCATTGAATCACTTTCTCTTTAAAATAAATTATGATATATGATGCAGCCTGGAGTCACTAAGCAAGTAGCAGCCAAATGACACCCGTTTTCTCCAAAGTTCGGGATGGGGGGAATACTCCATGGGGACAGTCTGATGCTCAAAGGAACCAATGTGGCTTACAAAACAAGCTCACTCTTCACAGTGGGCTGAGCATCAAAAGAATATGGGAGGCTTCTAATAACTGTTCGGTCTTTTTTATGGGGAAGAAAGTGAATCCCCAAACCACACCGAATGTTGTAGAAGCTGCAAATGAACTTTTGGCACCAGATGAGAAGAGCAGCTTTTCAAAGCCAACCCAGCGATGATCCTTAGAAGCGTGGGTCTGAGAAGTGGCAAAGGGGAGGGGAAGGCTGTAGGGGACTTTCTCCATGGGTGGTCTTTGCTTTGGGGACAGTGAGGATTGTCTGAGTAGCTGGCCCCCCACCAGCTGCAATTCCCTCAAAGGGAAAGACCACAACACACACATACACACACACATGACACTGAGGGAGAGACCCTTTTGCAGATGGGGGTAGTGTCTTTGCAATGTGTTCAGTTGAAAGCCAGGATGTGCTACACACACAAGGGACACACAGGCCACCCCAGTAGGATGGCCACACAGCCATCAAAGAGGACAAACAGGAAGCACATATGGGACACCAAGGATCCAAAAGGACGGGTAGGACTGGGCTCCACTAGCATTTACAAGGGCTGGAGGAAGGGCTCACAGAGTTTAATGGAAGGAAGGGTTCAGGACTCTTCCCAAGGGATTCTGGTACTACCCGCCCTCCCCCCCCCCAAAAGACAACAAAATCGTGAGAAGGAACAAATGAGCCTAAGACAAGGGTGGCCACACAGCCTGCCTTGGAGGCTTCCTAGGAATAGGCTGTGATTCTTTTCTGTTCAGGCCATAGGTTTTAGCTGAACTTCTCAGAACAGCCCCATCGTGACCTCCTGGACAGGGAGAAGGTAGCTACAAATCCAGGAGGCGCTCCTCACAGGTCTCCACAGGCCACTTGGAAGCCCCTCCAAACACATCAACGTTGTTGTCCACCCACGGGATGATGTTCCCAGGCATGTTCGTGGAGCAGTTGGCAATGTTGATGATTTCCTGCGCCCGAAGGACACGGTCCCATATGTTGAACTGGCTAAGTTCTCCGACAAAGGCCTGTGTGGCATCAAACCTGCCTCCCACGGTGTCCTGGAAAATGGAAACAGACACTTTGGGGGCAGGTTCGCAAGCAGAACTGGCCTCCTGACTCTCCAGGGAAGCAAGATGGAGAGGACCATGGATTCTATAAGTCCTGAAGCCCCATGGCGTTTGAGGTGTGGGAAATCGGCTTCCATCAAACCACCCATTTTACACAGAGGAAACTGAGGCAGAATGGAAAGACAGTTGCTTAAAGCCTGACTCTCAGGCCCTTTCAGGGGAGAAGTAGTGGAGAAGCTGAGGAAGGAGGCCATGAATGAGTCTACAAGCCTTCAAAGTGCTTAGTAATCACTAAGCTAGCTCTTCCCTGCCCAGGCTTCTTTGCTGTCCCTCACCTAGATAGTCTCCTGGATCACATTTCTTCCCATTGCCGGCCCGCTGCAGGTATCCTAGGTGCAAATGCAGGGACTCCCAGGGACACTGGAGATGCCTTCTTATAGTGTTTACCCTATAGGGCATGAGTCACTAACCCTGTGACTACCCTGCATCTTTCTCAGACACTGCATTAGTGTGTCTTGGGCTGTGCAGCCAGAGAGCTTGCTCACAGGGCTGGCTGTCAGGACACAGTGGCATGGTCTGGAAGACAAGAACAGGGAGGGGATTCTGGGTGGTTGGGTTACATAGCCTCTTTTGCATCATTCCTGAGAGTACTCACCTGCTCCTGCCCCAGGATGAGCACACCCCCAGGCTTGATGGGGTGCCAGGGTGCCAGGTTCTCCCCAGTGCCGAGCTTTTCCCCATCCTGGAATGCTTCCCACATGCCATCTCGGGTAGTCCAGGTGATGCAGATGTGGTGCCACTTGCCATCACTAACAAACAAGGGCAGCTGGGCTACCTGTGGGTATCAACATGTAGGTGAGGACTTGCCAGGTCCCAGTCCCATAGATTGCTCCAGGGAAGGGAATGGAATGTCACCTGGAGTCCTAGGGCAACTCAGGGCAACCCAGGATTTCTCATGGGCTCCCCTCCCCTGTCTTGTGTGGCAATCGGGAGACCGGATGAAGCCATTCTTGGTTCTGGGCCTGGCTACAGACTTACCCTCCCAGGCTAGCCTGAGCTCTCTGTGTAGACCTGACCAGTAGCACTCAGGAACCTTTGTGTGTACCAGGCCATGCATGTGTATGTCAGTGTAGTACAGGGCTATATACATACATACCCCACACTCAACTACAGGAACGCCCCAGCAGCCTGTGAGCACAAGGCTATGATAGCCCTGTTGTTACTGTTGGTCTCCTAGCAACCTGAAGTCTCCCTCCCAGGAATTGAATGTTTACAAGAGGTCTAAAGGGAGCGGAAAACAAGGCTCTCAGGCACTACAATGTTATTTAGAACAATAAATCCTTAGCTCAGGAAAGTTGTCTCTGCTAGAAGCTGGGCAGGCTCACTCTACAGAACTTTCAACTTCTCTGCGGTGCTCCCTAAGTAAACAAACTCCACCCAGTGATAGTTTGGTAAAGATGTGCAGGCAGGGGTCTCCTCTGCACCCACCCCAAATGGAGGCTGGGCTTGGGGCATCTATAGCAGGGGCAGCCATTCAAATGCCAGACTAAGGACATTTTTTTATTGTGTTGAATCTGACTTTAGGAGAAGAGAGACAGGATTTAGCTGTGAGCCACAAGCTGGCTTTAAACTCACAGTCTTTAAACTCATAGCTCCCCAAGTATTGAAAGAGCGTGCCACTGAGCCCAACTAGGTGGTTGAGTGATCAGAGGCTCCAAATTAGTCTTTCAAGTAGACCATACTGCTGAATGCCTATGGAAATGGGGAATCCTCGCTAGGAAAGGCAAGACTACAGAGAAGAAGAGAAGAGCGGTTGCCAAGGGCTGAAGAGGGCTGGGCAGGAGCTGACTACAGTGGTGAATGAGGGAATGTGGCAGTGGGACTGTTCGATATTTTTATTGTGGTGTGATTCTACAACTGTATGCATTTGTCAAGGCCAGCTAAAACTGAAACATACATTTAAAAGGTCAGTTTTGCCATGTGTAAAATTTATCTCAATAAATGACCCTTTTAAAGAGTATGCCCACACTCTCACATGGGTACCCTCAACCAAAGCATCTAGGGAGGACCACACGGGCTGCCTGTGTATATGGAATATTGCTTTCCTACCCTTTCACTCCTTCAACACCAGGATCCTCATCTGCTTCTTGGCCAGACTCGGAGCTCAGGTCTCCCTGGGCTGCAGATATGTTATGCCACGCCCATCCCACTGCCCATCCTCTGGAGTGAGACAGCCTCTCCATGCTGAGGAGGGCAACCACCACAGCCCTGGTCAGTGGGTGAAACAGACTATGGCTGGCCAGGATCTGCTCTGTGTGTTATTGTAACTCAGCCAAGGGCTGACTTCTTCCAGTATCTACGCCCTTGGACACCAGGGTGAAGTTCGAGCAGTCCTCACCTTGTCGTTGATGAGCAGCTCGATGGGATTATTACCCCACTCTATCAGCACAATCTCATTGGCTTGCCCAGGCACAGCATAGGAGAATGGTGTGCCGATGCCTGGCGAGGCACTGGACCGAAGCCACAGGCAGATGGTGAAGGCGTAGAGCTCGGGCAATGTCTTCTTGATCTTGCCATACAGGTAGTTTGTGCGGAGAGGAAGGGACACTTTGAATGCATCTGGTGACTTGAATGCACTGTTTCCTGGGTAGAAGGAAAAGTAGTAGGCTATAGTAGGCTAGCCTGGCCGTAGGACCCATCACTCAGGCAGACCAAGAGCACTTCTGGTCCTGGTTAGAGTGCTCAAATCCATCAGCCCTTGGATTTCCAGGTCCTTGCCTGCTGGAAGCTTACAATCTGGGCATGGGAGAGGGGGACAGACCAAAGTGAGTAGAAGAGAAAAGGGATAGGGAGGCAGTGAGTTCCTCTAGGAGGACAGTGGCTAGAGGAAGATTAAAGGTGGGATAAAGAACCATGAACAGCCAAGGACATGAGCAGGTCTGTGGGTTTGTTCCCCCACACCTGGTCTGTTAGGAAAAGAAACGAGGCCTCGGAGCTAGAGAGATAGCCCAGCTGCTAAGCCCACTTGCTGCTCTTCCAGTGAACTCCGGTTCGATTTCCAGTAGTCACACGACAATTCACAACCATCTGTATCTCCAATTCCAGGGGTTCTAACCTTCTCTTCTGGCCTTCGCAGGCTCTGTACATATATGGCGTATATACATATATCCAGGCACATACGCATAACAACAAAACTTTCTTTTAAAGAACATTCCTATATATCTTTGTGTAAAGGCCTTGCTGTTTACCTTGTAGCCCGAGCTGGCTTTGAACTCACAATCCTCTTGCCTCAGCTGAGCAAGTATTGGGTTTACATATATGTACCACCAGAGCCAGCAAGGTTTTGTTTTTTTGTTTTTTGTTTTTTTTTTCTACAAGTAAACAACACAGAAATAAAAGCACGCAACTCCAGTCATTTCTGATTGCCATTCTCTAGTCTTGGTCTCAATGCTTAGAAACTGGAGGAAGGGTCTAGAGAGAAACTGGATTTAATTTTCTTGTTCTATAAGCCAGGAAAGTCTTCCTCAGCTGATCCTTGTTTCCTCCCATCTTTCCTTGAGCTCTCTACTGCTCTGGCTTCTTCCGTAAGGGCAGGCTTTGAAACCCAAGGGACTAGGGCTTGGAGGAGGAAATGTCTCCTGGGGACCTGAACTCTTGATAAACACTTGTGAGCAAGTAAGCCTGCATCACTTGTCACAGTAAATGACTAGCACTGCTTAGGTGAAGGTGTCAGGCTTGAGGTCTCCACACTACAGCTTTACTCAGAAGTGGCAGTTTGTCTCAGTCCCTGCTGGGAAACCCTTTACCCCTGACATGACCTTTCCTTCTCAAGACAGGACTGCATTGTTGGACTGTTTTCTGTAATGTGGACCCAGAGGGAGGTAGATACTTACAAAGGTACCCCCACCTCAGGCTAACACCTGGCCAGACCTTTAGCCCTTCCAGACCTTACTGGTAGTGGTGAGATGCTCCCTTCCCCCATCTCAGGCTGTCCTCATGTGCGAGGCACTTCTGAAGTCTTTGCAAACAAATTCTTACATGGCATGTAACTTTCAGTATAGTCTTGATTTAAGCTCCAACTGATGTACAGTTGGGTTAGCCAAAGTTTGCAGAGAACTAGCCGATTCTGTGAGTGGCCGTAGAGCAAGCTTTCCTTTAACACAAGGGTTAGTCAGATTCTGCTTGTGAAGGAGCCTCATTATTCTTCACTCACCAACACCACTTTTTAAGCACCTCTAAAGGACCAGACAGCCAGACAAACTTACTCCATGATCTTCCAGATGAAAAGTTCCAGACCTTATCTGAAGAGGTCTCCTGCACAGCCCAGTAACAGAGTCCAGGGTCACCTTTCTGATCTTTGGGTTTTCCAGCTAGTATATGTTCATGCCCTGGTGGCTGTGTAGTCTCCCTGATTCATCCTGACCTCCCATGGTAGGCAACCCTCAAAACAGGCTGCAGACTCGCTGAGTGCCTGTCCAGAGCCAGAAAGACCTGGCCATCTCAAGCACCCAAGGAAGCAGGCCACAATAAAAGCAAGAGCTTGCCCCCCATTATACTGAAGAAAAGAAAAAGACAGAACCAGACAACACCCTCTCCAATTTTGCAGGTTGTTCTGTTGTGTTGAGGCTGAGAGAAATGACTTGTCCAAGGTCACACAGCTACTGAGCCAACAGGACCGGAAGTCCCTCTTTCCACTATGTATAGTCACTGGTGCTTACTGGTGACTGTGCAAATGACCGTGTTCTTAATGAAGACATCATTATCTAATAAGGAGAAATGACTTCTGTGCTTGCAGGTGGGCAGGCTTGCCAATTTAATAAGACTCTGTGTCTGTAATATCATTAGGTTGGTGACAACAGATAGGTTTAATTAGAGCTGGAAGAGCTGAGAGGCAGAGAAGGGGGCTCTAGCCTGAAAACTGGTACCCTTTATTTGAATAAAAACAGCTTGGAGGTTCAGAGGAAACTTAGTTAGAACCAATTAAGGAATTAAAAGGCTTGACCAATAAATCAGAAACTGCAGGTGGTGGACAAGCCTAAGGAGGAGGGCAGGCAGCCTGGGGCTTGAAGGGAGGAGGCTCTGGTCTCAGTGCCAATGCTGATTTCAACACCCAAACAGCTGTGCCTGGCCAGCTGGCCCGGACTCTGAGGCCTTTGCAAATGAACAGGTCTTGAAACCAAGAGAAGTAGACATCCTGGGAACATGGGTGCTGTGCAGAATCAGTGGCTATATGCTGGACTCTAGAAAGAGTTCCTGCTCAGCAGGGATAATAAAAGCCCATTTCTCCTCTGGGATCACTACTAACCTCCTCAGATCTGCAGAGGTCAGAACCATCTGACCTTGCCTGCCTGTACCTGCCATGGGAGCCTGTTGCAGGGCTAATAGAAGATACAGAACCCACAGGCAAGTATCTGGCTTATAGCTGATAGAGAATGAAGGACCACAGGACAGAGACTCCCCAAAGCCTGGCCACATGGTGGAGGCCTACCTATATTCGGCTCGACTAGATGCTTCTAGGGAACCTGGTGGAGTTCCCACTCATAGTGAACTTTGGGGGCTGGGCATTTCCACACCCTGTACAGTGGACACAGAGCAGAATGAGCACACACTCAGAATTGCCCAGAAACAAATGGCTTACCAGATGGTCATTTTCCTTTACAACTCATTCCAGAGCTGAGTAGGTGGGACACAAGGAAAAAGTCTAGCATTCCCGTGATGGGGGAGTCAAAGGGAAGTCTGGGACTGGAGATGGCAATTAAGAACACTTGTTGGTCTTGTAGAGGACCCAGGCTCAACTCTCAGCACCCACAGGGTGGTTTTCCGATCATTTGTAACTCCAGTTCCAGGGGATCCAACCAACACCCTTTTTTAGGTTCCATGCAGACCAGGTATAAATGTGGCATACACATACAAGCAGGCAAAACACCCATACATATAAAATATATATATACATATATATATATGTACTCATATGTGAAAAAACACATATATACATATGTACAATACATACACACACATATATATGTACATACAAACTCAGTTTGAAGAAGCTTAGTGGCTCCTCTGAACCATGTTGTACAAGAAGTGTGGCTCCTGTAGGACCTAACATCCCATGGCCCATTCAGCTGTGAGCTCTCAGCAATAACTAAGGGGCACAATGTGGTTGCCAGAACCAGCACGCCTGGCCCTGAACCCTGACTGTTCCCTCCTGGCTGTGAACAGACAGGCTGAGAACATGTGGGAGCACTATTAAATGGCAGCTCGCAAGTGACTGTTCTACTGGCCTGGAGACCAGGGACAGAGAATGGGGAGGCTCAGGGTTATGTCCCTGGGACATGTGTCTCAGGGTTCTTTGGCAAGTTTCCATAAAGGATACTTGTCTGCCTGGGAAGTGAGCATATCCTTATCTGTGAAATGGGTACACTGCCTGACACTAATTCCAGCATCCACCTCAGAATTCTACGGACTTGCCCCTTTGTTGGCCAGCTGACCACTGTGCCAAGTGAGACACACAGCCACAAAGTCCCCTCTCATTCTCATTACCCCCTTCAGTTACTTACTACTGTGTTCACTCCATGGCCCTGTGTGTTCCAGGGACCCACTATGATTGTGGTGGGTAGACACTGCCCTCCCTCTTGTCAGGCAAGAAAGGCATCCAAGGCAGTTGCTTTGCCTTTGACAAAGGCTCTGGGACCTAGGGGGTCTCCCAATATCACCATCAGCAGAAATTAGACAGAAGAGACTGTTTTGAAAATTCAAGAATCTATGTCAAGCCAGAGGTGGTAGCACACGCCTGTAATCCCAGCATTTGGGAGGCTGACCTCGGAGGATGGCAAGCTAAAGGCCAGTGTAGGCTATATAACAAGATGCTCTTTCAAGAAAACAAAACAAAACAAACACACAAACAAAAAAACCTAAACAGAATCATAGTCAAATAGGTAAGCTACACTTCTCACCTTTTTATAAGGAAGGCAAGGGAAATAGTAGAAAATAGGAAGGGGACATGGGAAAGCTGGGACTCCTAATGAAACAATATCCCATCAGCCCATTGCCTGCTCCATCTGACCCTTCTTTTCATTACAGGACTCACTGGACACTTGCTATTGGACAGTCTCATATCAATCATGAAATTGAGAGTATCTTTGTTAGCTTAGTGCATCTAAGATCATAACTGTATACCCTCTGCCACCAAACCTAAAACGTCACAGGCCACCCAGAGAGTTGGGGAGGGGGGGTTGAGGCCACAAATGGAAGCCTCTAGGACCCTTTATTTCTCCTCCCCTTCCATCTCTAGTGGGAGAATCTTACCCACCACAGCACGAGATGAGAAAAATAGGCAGAGTCTGCTGTGAGGACTAGTTAAAAAGAGACTGAACTGCCTAACTAGCAGGAGGTCAGAGGTCAGGCTGTTGATCCAAGCTGGTCCTGAGTTCCTTTGTGCTCGTGGGGCTCGGGGCTAATTCGTATGACCACTGTCAATCACCTTTGTCATTTACACAAACATCTGAGGATCATCTCCATGTTGTTGCCTCCACCACTGCTTCATTGCTGCCCATAAATGGAAATCCTAGGTCTGCCCAATGTGGTGAAAAGGAGGCCACTCTCTGACAGAGTATCAGGCACCCAGCACGTACCTCGCTCCAGCTCAGTCACTCTCTGCAGCAGCGCGTTCAGTGTACTCTCTGTCTTCTGCCGGTGAGCTGATGTCTCATTGTGGAGCAGGGACTTCTCATCCTCCAGCTCGGCCACCTTGCGCAGCAACTGCCTCTCCAGTTCCCCGAGCCTCCGCTGGAGCACCTCTCGAAAGTCGCTAGGTAGCCCGGCATTAGATGCGTTTGTGCGGAGCTGGAGCTTCGGAAGAGCGGGAGGGGGACATATTCAGGCCAGCTGAATAAAAACTATGGCACGCGGCTCCAATGACCCAACCACACAGCGAGAGGCTTCCAACGCAGCATTAAATGGTGCCAGTGGCTCAAAAAAGAACGTTTTTTCTGATACTTATTTTTTGGTAGGGGAAGCCTTTCAAAGTCAGACAAAAAAATTACTTTGTTGCAATATTTGAAACTTGCAGATCTCACTTTCTTCTCTTGAAAAGCTGCTTTAGTTAACATCTGTAATTCTATGTTAGAGAAAGTCCAAAAATACAGGCAAGATTTTTTTTTTCTCAAGCAATTAATCAATGGTACAGTGAGCTTTCGTCTAGAAATGAACATGGTCCCCAAGTTCCAAAATGGTACAGGGTCAAAATGCTCAGAGATGCCCCTGGAAAATGACGGACACAAGACCTTACTATTCTAACCCCCAGAAAGCTTTGTTTGTAGGACGGTACCCAAATCCTTACTTCCTATTTCTCTTACTCCTCTGCCATCATACCGGCTCAGAGGCAGTCTGCCACCCTCAGCCACCAGCCCTTGGCAAGCTCATGTACCTCTGTGTCCAAATGCTCCAGAATATAAATTGTAAAAAAAAAAACAGGACCTGCCTCGTGCTATTCTCTATTACAAGGGTTAAAATTAAATAATATGCCCGAGCCACATTTAGAACTCAAGAAGTGTTAGCTCTTACTAATCCTAATGACTCATGGGATCTACAGATGCTGGAAATACTGTATGTAGCCACTGAGCCAAAAGAAACCCTCCGGTAAGTTAGCAATAATTAACACCTGTAATTTAAACATCATTTTTTGCTAATAGGTATTTTGATAAACGCTGTTAACAGAAATGTCCACACTTCTTAAGCAAGGTGGGAAGTAAGATGAAAATTAATTGAAGATTTCTACCCCAAAGTTCCAAACTGCACACGGAAGAAGATATAGCAGGATAAAGTCTGTTCTCCTAAAGTCATGGCAAAGGGCACCTTAAAAAACGTTCTGACTCGATGAACAGAGGCGTGTAACATTTGGGGGTCTCTGGCTTTCCTTCTCCACGCTCCCGCAGATCAGTCAAACCCAGTCCTCCCACCCCCTGACCCAATTTGTCAAAGAAAACACCAGATGCCCATGGGCAGCTGACCTCCAGCGACAGGCTCTCAGCACAGGGCACAGCCAGAGGGAACGTGTCCCGCTTCCGATCGCAGAGATTTGCAAGGAGAGGAAACAGGCTGCTAGGGTCACTGGATATTGCCCTCCAGGCTAGGCCGTCTGGGGTTCAATAACCAAAAACCTCACTAGATTCAGGGTAAGTCCCCGCGTGAGACTGGATGGAGGTGGGGGGTGAGGATTTCACCTTTCCCATCCGACAAGGGGATAGAGGAGGGCAGGGATAAGGGAGGTCATCCCAGTAATGTCCAGAGAGGGAGTGAGGATTGCACCCGGATCTCAACTCTCCCCATGGATGGGCAC